AATAAAAGTATTTAACACTTATTCCCGAGGTACATGGTGCATCCCCTTTTCCTATCGCCATTTTTAATATATTATGCAAAACAAAAATATAGATAAAAAGACAACAATTAAATGGAATCGTAGACAACACTTTGGGGGTTGGCCAGTTGGTGGTTGGGACATGATGCTACGTCTTAAATGGTTCAAAATGGCTTCCAAATATCTTTCCACTGTAGTGACCACGATGCATCAGAGAGTTAAACTGCTTTCTTCTGGACTGGCGAGTCTTCATTGTAAAATGCTGGACTTAAGGTAAGGGGATGTGCTGGAAGCAATGATGGCAAATTGGTTGCCAGTTAATTTTAATGTAAATGTATATTTGACTGTTTTAACCTCATTGGTTTTAGAAGGCATGTCAGACAATATTAATATTTAAAAATAATTGAATAATATTTATATAAATATTATTAGCATTATTTGTTTTATTTTTATGATTTCTTGTAAATAAACATTCCAGCAAGATTTTAGTGGGCAGTGTTTATTTTTATTTGATTTTTTATGTTTTGAACAAGACAAACATTGTCTGTAGGTTGTGAACTTTTTTACGCAAGTTTTGAAATAAATCCGAAAGTGCATATGCTGTACATATGGATACAAAAATTTTATAAAATGTATTTTCAACATTTTTATACGATTTACAATACGAAGTACGTAGTACAATACACAATGTTAAATCCAGAAACCTAAATCTCGGTGAAAGAAAATGCATCACATTTTGCCTTTATTTTCCTACCAACTTAAATAATGATTTACCAAAAAACAGTATTTATGAAGCTGACATTTATTCATTGTAAAATGTCTTCCACATTTATAAACACCAACGATTAATAGGAAGTAAATTGGTGGCTTTTCTCAACTATCATTGAACACTTGTTTATGTTTAATGCATCTGTAATGGTGTGTCACCACAAATCCTGCTTATAAGCTATTTCGGAATAATACAGAATATTTTTTTTTACTTGAACTATTGAAACTGAACACTCCTACACTGTTTATAAGGAAAAGTTATAATTATCACTCCTTACTTGCAAAATTAAACCTTCAAAGTAGCATACTTTTCTTTTCTGTCATCAGTTCTTCAGTGTAAATTAGCCTATATTTAGGTGAACTACCGTCATTTATCCTTGTAACAAAAAACATCTGATCAGTCACCACAACACAGTCTTTTACCAAAAAAAAAAAGAAGAGAAAAATCTTCTAAATTCTGGTCTTTGCAAACGATGGATAAACTTGACTCATGTGGGAATAGGTTGGAATTTCCACAATAGTTACTGTAGCTAGGGTGTTGTCTGTTTGAAAACTCAGTCCAATTAGAAAACGTAACAGTAAAGCTGCATTTCCAGTAAGGTAGGTTATAGCCATTTGAATGCATTATTTGCTGAGAATAGAACATTCACTTTCATTTCGTGTAAAGCACAGCGTCTAAAGCTCGGGTAAAACTGTTGGTAAGTTCAATTTATAAAATGTTTAAATACTACAGTTTGTAAATGAAATATGTTTGTGAATTAGGCTACTTATAGAAAATAAATTAATCTCCTTTATTCAAAGAAATACAGCCCGTTCACTCTCAGAACCAGGCCTAAATCGATCACTTTATTAGCTTGCACACAAACGGACGATTAGCCTATACTTTCTTTATTATAAGCGCGAGCTGAATGAATTGTCTTCTATGAACCCTCAGCGCTCGCTTTAGACAGATGTTAATTGGCTGTCAGTGTTTTTTGTTCATTAGGTCGGATAAGAATCCACAATGATATATTTTCTCCTCGTTCTTTACAGTTGTGGTCTGGACTGTTCTCTTAAAGCGATTTTTAAAATCGTGTGGGTTCAAATTATAAGGGTGCGCGGGGCACAAACTACGTGGGGTTCGGTTTAAACATGTCCATGCTAGCATAACAAAACTTACTGTATATTTACAAGTTGTCGTACTAACACTACCTATAGAGAGAAAAAAAAATGCCAAAATTCAAAAAGCTTTGAAGATATCGCTGAACCTTTATTTAACAATAGCAAAAGTAAATTAATGGCTGAAATACAGATTTCATCTCAGTTTTTAGTGTTTATTTAAAATGAGGCAAATCTGATATTATTTTAATCTCCGATCTGTTTATCAATTCTTTAATGCTTCGCTAGCTAGCAGATGACACTAACCAATAACCAGTTTTAATTGCGGTTGTGCAGATGGGAAACGTTGTAACACTGCCTAACAATGTGCCTCGCCATTATTAGAACCATGCTATTCTATGACATTAAGCAATGTAATTTACACTAATTACTTTCATGAATTTTAATGAGAAACCATGAGAAACAGGTGAATAAAGACTGAGAGTCAGCGTTCAGAAATTATTATTTCAAGAAATGTACATTTTTGCTTGTCTATTTGTCTCCTGTTCTGTGAGAGCTGTGTGTGGTGGGTGGGGAGTGTTGTGTTCATCTCTGTTTTCTGAATGTGTTCATTGTCAAACTCCAAAATTTGTTTCTTTTTAATTCTTTAAAAACGCCATTATTTTATTTTAAAAAGTTAATTTTATTGACAAAATATTTTAGTTACATTTTTTCATTAGATCAGATAACATTTCAAGCTGTCATATGGTCATGTTACAATGTGCCCCACCTATGTGGCATGTTGCCACTTTTCAATTGTGGTAAATAAAGAAAAAATATTATACACTCTATAGTATACACTATAACTATGAAACATATTAGCCACATATTTGTACTAGACAAGTGTGAAACTGTTGTAGAGGAAAAATAGTCTACTCTGAACCCCATGTGGATTTGCACAAACTGAAAAAGTCAAAAAGCATTAGGTTGTGCCCCACTCTCCTCTAGTTATTGTTCTTTGTGTGAACGGGCCTAAGGCAATAACAATGTGGGAAAATAAAATTATTGTATCACTAACATGAATCTTGTAATGTCTATTTTATAAGAGCTCTAGGCTTATAAAATAAAACATAAATAGAATGTCAACATAAAATGTAAAAATTGTGGTTACACAAGTGCAATAACAGTGGATTACAGTGTGTTTGTAAAGGCTGGAGTTTGCTGTTTTAAACTTGTTCAACGGGGTGGATTAGGCTGTTCAAAGTGAAAACTCTTTGGTATATTGAACGTCACTGGAGCACAGTGAACACATAAGGTGCAGCAGTCTTTAAAGGGGTCATATGATGCTTTTTTAAAGATCATTATTTTGTGTATTTGGTGTAACAGAATATGTTGACA